CGACAGCGATTTTTTCAGCGACGAGATCCGATTTTTCTGCAAACACGTAACATGTTCATTTATGCCACAGAGAACATCGATAATGACGTTTATTTTTCAATATCATGTGATCTGCGAGGTCAAGAGCATGGGCAAGGGACGGGAAACTCCGTATCACCAAAAAACCGACCAATTTTGAATAAGGAAGCATCAGAATGTTCACAAGCGCAAGAACTAGGATCCGTTTATAAGCCCTGACCTCTCCAATCACTATTCTACGTCATATTCAGGATCCATAGACGAGGAACTCTATATCACGAACATATTATTGAGTTCCCCGTCATTTGGGTCTTAAGTTGGACCTTGAAAGGTAACCACAAGAGGTAAGACTTTTGACGGACGTTAGTTCCTTCCATAGTGAATATTCTGGTGTTGGCGTAGTTAAAATCTGCCGGCAATTTTTTGGCGATGTGGAGTTCTCCTTCATTTGAGTCTGCATTTGAACTTGAAGGGTGACTTTGGTAGGTCGGGACTTTTAGACAGACGCGCTAGTCCATGCACTGGAATATATTTTTAGTGCTTGCAGGTTCAAAATAGGCCGATAACTTTATGGTAATGTTGAGTTTCCGACATTTGGAACCAGGGTTTGACCTTGACGATCATATATTTCCACGCAAGTTTTTCAGTGCATTTGCGAGGAACATTATTCACGTAGATAAGACAGTGGTGATAGCCTTATTACTCGCAGAAAAAAATGGCAGAATGGAGACAAAGATGAATCGATATTTCGACCACATGGTGTTATCGAAACAGCGGCAGAAATGAATTCAAAATTGCCTGCTGAATATCCTCCCCGACTATCCAGCCGCTTTTTTAACTGCAGGCCACAGTTTTGCAGGATACAGACTTTCATGGGATTTAACAAATAGCGATTGCCAGCCATTAGCACGATTGCCAGTGCATATCTAAGAATTAGAATACGCAAAAATACGTGTACACGCAAACGAACTCAAGAAAGTACGTATCACACGTCATGCTTCATCCAAACATGCAAGCGACTTGAAGTCAAGGCACACATCACTGACAAAAGCGCATATCGCCCTCGGATAATTGGCCATGATGAGCCGTGTACGTGAAGATTTCGACGCTGACCTTTTATAGGGATAGGCTCATTTATTTATAGGAAAATAAGTTGATAAGAACATATTCACTTATTTATAGGAAAATAAGTGACCGCAAGCCAGATACCATACTGTTGACCGAGGCCCTCTCCAAATCCCATAACCTTCCTATTGCAACATCTCTGCTATTGATATATGGTTACACCCTGTGCACAAACTTTAATCTATCTCTGCTCAAACTCGATCTAGCGGTAGGAGATGTATTTGTGTCTATGTGTCCAACCTACTTAATGCAGCTGAACACTCATTTGGGCCAAGTCCTCTCGAGCAAGTGTGGCTGAAGATGGCCTTGAGTTGGAAGGACGCCCTAATACTTGGCTGCATATGTCGAAGTCCGTCAGGCAACACCCAAGACAGTGTGCGCGAGTTGTAGGACCTTACGCAGAGAGCGTGCAGAGCCCAATTTTTTCACTTGATGGTTGTAGGCGACTTTAACTTGCCTCAGATTGACTGGGTAACAGGGCGGTCATCAGCTCCAGAGAGTCACCCAGCCCGCTCACTGATGGATACCATCCAGGGCTGTTTTTTCCAGCATGTCCAGCAGCCAACATGCTACCGGGTGGGTGAAGCTCCAAGCGTCCTGGACCTCATTTTCACAAACGAGGAGGGGATGGTGAGCCAAATCGAATACCTGCCTGGGCTAGGTAACAGCAACCATGTGAGCATCGGGCCCACTTTGATCTGTTACTCTGTGCTGCAAACTCCTCGTCCCGGTCAGCTGACACACACGAATTACGAGCATCTGGTTGACACCCTCAGGTTAATGGACTGGTCACTGATGGAGAACCCCAGCCGCGAAGGTGCTTGCAAGTTCTTCAAGGTGAGAATCGCCAGGGCGACTGAGGTTTGCTCCCTCAAGAGAAGGACTGAACCTAAGAAGAACTTGTACATGAACCCAAGGGCCATGCAGCTTAAGAAGACTAAGGAAAAACTATAGCGTACGTAAACGCGGACTCAGGATGTTCTGGACCATGCCAGGTTTGTGCGGTGTCGCGATGACCTTCGGAAGTTGACCAGAAACCTTTGGAAAGAGTATGCGATGAAATTAATAGCGGACCTCAAATAAAACCCATGGCCTTTTGGAGGTACGCCACCTCAAGACTACACACACGATGCATGGTAGAAGACCTTGACGATGACGGAGCGTTAACCAGCAAACACGAAGGAAAGGCCAGTGTCCTCTATAAATTCTTCGCCAGTGTTTTCACGGACGAAGGGAATAATGCCGTGCCTGTGTTGCCTTGCAACTATACTGGATCGTTTCTGGATGACATGGACATCTCTACCCAGGCAGTGGCAAATAAACTGGCTGCTCTGGAGACCTCGAGGGCCCCTGGGCCAGACCATGTCCACCCAAGGCTTCTTCGTGAGTCCGCAGACGTCCTTGCAGTACCCCTTAGCGCACTTTCCCGAAAATCTTTGGCACCCGGAATGCTCCCGAAGGAGTGGAACCTTGGCGAGACAGTCCCGATCTTTAAGAAATATAACGGACAATCCCCAGCGAGCTATCGCCCAGTGAGTCTTACTGCCATTCCCTTCAAGATACTCGAATCTTTCGTCCGTGATGCCCTACTTAATCACTTCTCTGAGTCTTGTCTTCTTCATGCAGCCCAGCATGGGTTTCTCCCAAAGCGGTCCTTTATCATCCAGCTATCAAAAGTCATAGAAGATTGGAGCGCCGCGGTAGAGAACAGAGAGCCAGTGGACGTTGCGTATCTGGACTTTACCAATACCTTGATTTTGTATCTCATAACTGTCTGCTCTCCAAGCTTCATGCTTACGGTGTGAGAGGTAATTTGCTCCGATGGATCAGGGCTTTCCTTACCCACTGGATGCAGAGAATGCGGGTCCAGGGCTCGAAGTCGGACTGGACCAACGTCGTCAGCGGCATCCCGCAAGGATCAGTGCTTTGATCAACGCTATTTACAATCTTCGTAAGCGATCTGCCAGAACAAGCGCGCGGCGCGGTCAAGATGATCGCGGATAACACCAAGGTCTACTATCGTGTCCCGGGGCCTCTGACTGACCCACCTCTACAGGTTGACATCGACGCCCTGGCCAAGTGGTCAAAGGGGTGGCTGCTCCCCTTTAGTGCAGCAAAGTGCGAAGTAATGCATATCGAAAACTGCAACCCGAGGCTGACCTACTTTTTGGAGGCCGAGATCGCGGTCGAGTCCATAGAGCAAGACCTCAGGATCTTCGTGGATTATAGGCTCAAGTTCCACGTGCAGACGGTGGAGGCGATCTCCAAAGCCAACCAGATGCTGGTGGTCGTGAGGCGGTCTTTGCCGACGTCGATGCTCGCACGTTGCCATTACTCTTTAAGATCTTAGTACGTATTCGGAGCATGACAACGTAATTTGGGGACCGTTCGGAAAACTGGACCAGAAGCGTCTGGAGCGGGTTCAGCGACGAGCTACCCGTCTTGTCTATGAAGTGAGGCACCAGCCATACCCTGGGAGGCTCAGAGTCCTCCAGTTGCCCTCGCTGTGCGACAGTTGTCGTGGGGGAGGCATGGTAACAATGTACCAGCTGTTTCACGGAGGTATGTCGCTGTCGGAAGAGAAGCTTCTGACAAGGCACAACTCAGAATTGACAAGAGGACACTAATGGAAGCTGAGAAGACTTCGAGCTAGGACTCTCGTCCGTCGTAACTCGCTTAGCACGCGGATCGTCAACAATTGGAACGTTCTTCCACACCCGGTCGTGTCAGCAACCTCAGTTGAGCAGTTCAAGTATGGGCTTAATATGCAGTGGGCTGACATAATGCATGACATCCCACACTGAATCTACACATAATTTGATACTGTTTGGTTACCGGACTGAGAGCCTGACGAGACCGGGACCGACAGGCCTAGTGGCCTTTTGTAATTCCGAATCACCATAATATAAGATAAGATACGTGAATCTATTCATATAAAAAGTCAGCGATCAAATCTTAACGTATGGAACTCATCATGGCCGGTTATGCGAACGTGATATGTGCCTTTATGTGTAATGTATGCTAGCTTAAAATCGTTTACATTTGTAAGTGATGCTTGACGCGTGATGCGCGATGCCTGTTCAATTGAAATCGCTTGCATGTATAGTTGATGCGCGATGTGGGATGCCTGTTAACCTCAAATCGCTTGCATGTTTGAATGAAGCATGGTGCGTGACGCGTATTGGCTTGAATTCTTTGCATGCACATGTATTCTCGCGCATTCTCATTCTTAGATATGCACTGCATCATGGTAATGGCTGGCAATCGCCCTTTTTTAATCCCATACAAGTTATTATCCTGTAAAATCTGTGGTTTGCTGTTTCAAAAAAAAACCCTGAAAAATCATGGAGGATCACCAGTAGGCAAATCTGAATTCGCTTCCTCTATCGTTTCGATGAAGGCGTGTTGCTGAAATCTCAACCCAACATGTTTCCATTCTTCTGGTTTTTCTGTGAAGGACAAGGTATTTACTGTCTTATCACATGTTATTGCAAAACACATGCGATTTTCAATGTTCTCGTGGCATGATTGACGAAATGGCGTGCATCCAGAGAAATCGGAACTCGTCGCTGCGTAAATCGCTGAATAAATCGCCAACTCCACTGGCGTGGTAAATAAAGACTACGCACGTCACCTGCTTTATGAAATGACACACTGATCGCCACCAGTCGTATAGACGAAAATATTCGCCCAACAAGCGAGCATCATCCTCATCAAGTAAAACAGAGATTATCATCACACTGTTTCGCACTTCGGGTTGTTTTTCGTGTCCCTCCAAAAATTTCACCGACTTGGTAACGTTGAAGATGTGCGTCTCGCGCCAATTTCATTTGATTCCACTACTGACGCCGCGTCTCCACCACTCTCGCTAGTGCAGGTTAATTGCGATTTGCCGACGTTCCTGATTATTCTTCTTCATCACCGCATCGGTAGGTTTTCAAGCGCTCCTGACAGCCTGCTTTTCACCTAAGTACCGCTGACATTGTCGAGTTACTTGTCTATCATGTGCTTCGAAAAGGAAGGGAATAGTATCGCTTGCGTGGTGTACTGGAACTTTACTTGGTGCACGCACAGACAACGGGCAACTTGAGAAAGAAACGGATAAATTTCATTTGCAAAACACTAGATGCTTGGAATCAACCCTACAACATATTGCTTTGTATGATGGATAAATTAACTGGAACAGAGTGTGGCAGTGTCTGGATAAGGATTGGTGTTCTTTTGTACCAAAATTTGAAGGCATTTATGTTTAGAAGTATAGACAAGTTAATCTTGCATCATAGGAGCATCATAAAAGGAAGTTTTTGCTTAATTCAATTTTCTGCCATGCATTTGGTGAATTTTGTAATTTAATTAACACACCTTGGATGTTGGCAATTACTCCTGCTTTTTGGGGTTGAAATGTTGTAGAGGAAAGATGAAATAGGTGGGAAGGCATCCAATGAGTAATCCTGAAGTTAGAGATAATGCCTATGACATTGCATTAAAAGAGGCCTCACAAGACATCTCAATACTTCATAATTACTGTTCACCTTCTGGTTGTTGAACTGCCTCACTGAACTGATCAATGCACTGTCATATTGTGCTGTTTTGAAGCAATTTTGCCATCCTGAAATCCAAGCCTGGCATTCAAGCATAACTGCAGGTGTGTGCAGGATTTATGGGTTCTGGAACACTGTTGGGCATAATATATTGATGTTCATTTATTTTTTATTTCTTAACTGTAAAAATCATTATAATTTATGATAGATGAGTTTGTTGGGAATTGACACAACTTGTTCTATCCATGTGGCCAGTTTATTTAATGGATGATGCTTACATATCAGTCCCCAACAATCACACAATTATCAGTTGTTCAGAAGAGTGTCCGAGCAGACAGGCTAGGAGTGCCTCATATACTTCAAAATCTGTCTTTGCAAATTTTTGTCTGGTATGCTGAGCAGTCAGATAGGGCTGGCTCTGCTTTGGGTTAGCTAGAAAGTTCTTGCCTTGTTGAATATGTGTATGTGGTTGGGCTGATCTTAGATCAATTTTTATAAATACAATGGCATCAACTACATGTTGTGGCCAGTCAAACTTTGCATCATTTTTGGCTTTCAAGACATTTGCAGGTAAGCCATCACTGACTGCAGCCCCCTCCTTCTACCAACTTGATTGTGCTCTGCATCCCGCAGTCAGCTTAGTGCTGAGCGTAGCCTTCATAAGATCACCATGTTATGCTCCTTTCCAAGCTGAGACTTAAGAGACTTTCAGCTTGTCCTATCATTGGGAGCTTTATTAGAACAGAATTTACAGAGATGACTTCTAGACCCCAAATACTGTAAAGTGACTTGATACAGAGAGAATGAATTGGTATTTTTATATAAAGTAACACCAAAGCACCCTTCCATTTGTCATCAGTCCCAGCTAATGGCTTCATATTGTGACCAGGTAATTGCCCACATATGTTGTACTTTATACTGGTGGTGTTCTACTATAATTGCTCTTTCCAGCCATTTGTAGCCACATAGGCTTACCAGCTGACATAATTAGGGGTCTTGGGGTTTTGGGACATAATTAGGGGTCATAATTAGAGTGCCTTGAGTTTGGCACAGCCTCAATGGTAGAATGTTTATTGGGAACCTGCATAAGCAGTGCATTTGGTGATGCCCATGTGTGCCAATTGAAAACCCATTTTTCACAATGTCATGTTAAATGTATTCTTAACTTAAAAGTGTGAATTTCAAATCAGGTTTTTGTATGGAACCAACTTTTGTTCAGATTTTTTCTGGTGAAGGAATTACCACCACCAGTGTCAACACATGCAGCACAAATGACTTGTGGAATAGTTGGGGCATAGCCATTCAACTGACAATTCAGATATATCAAAAAGGCAATTTTACAAGAAACCTGGTGCTCTTCAGTTGTCATGTGGCCAACTGAAAGTCATGGAGATTAAGTGCTTACCGCACTTGATGATAACATTTGAAGATTATTGGAAGACAATGTTATAATGATAGCATTTGATGATAACATAAGCACAGTTACAGGTCCTTACAGGCCCCCTACCTCCGGCGATTTCACTTGCTGTTTTGGATCACTGATTGCACGGGTATTCTGCGCTATGCTCTTGGGTCCGTCATTAGGGCCTTCAGATCCGTCGTGGCCAATTGTGAAACTGCTTCACAGAATGTACTATTGGCAGCCTGGTCATGCCGAAGTCTCCTCCGTTTCTTACCCACACCAGTTGACAATTTGGTGTCGTGTGACTTCGGGCTAAAGCGGGCACCGATGCTGTGGTCGGGATGGCGGAGCCGCGGGTCCAAGATACTTTTCTTGATGCTCCTATGGGTCATCAGGACTTGCAAACATTGCTTTGGTTGCGGCACGTCTAATATGCGATCTTCCTAGCCCTTCGGCGAACGAGTTTTGAACGTAAAAAAGTCGCTTGGTGTGGTATCTGGTTAGAGCATCACATGAACACGTGCGTATGAGGTGCTTTAGCTTTCTTTTTTTGACAAATAGGTCGTGCCAAATAGACGTGTCCGAGAGCGAATCCACGTCCTTCGGGAGCCTACGACGGTAACAAATGTTGTGCATAAAAGCGTATTTATTTCAAAGGTGATGATGCTATTGTATATAGCTTCTCCATCATTGCACGGTATAACCGTGGCCTAAGCGTGGGGAAGCATCAATACCTGACCAGCTGGTCAGCTAACTTCCATCGACCAGCAAACGCGGTAATAGCACCGTGGATAAACTCATTATGCCAGTATGGCCGTATAGTAGTGCTGTGATTGTCAAAGACGAACTTCTGTTGTTTTCGGTGATCACAGAAAATAACAGAACGAAGCCAACGGGGAAAAGAACATGAAACAAGCTCAACGATGAATAAAGCTGAAATGATATTGCGTTGCTATATGCTAATGTCAGTGTGTTATTCCCAGATTGGTGAAGCTATTTCGGCTGCAGGTGTACCGGTATGACTCGTGCCCGCCTCGCCAGCCGCAAGGCGTGCAATAATGGCACGATCAACAGAGGCGTCGGCCACAGCATCAAGAAGGCGCAGAAGAACAAAAAGCCACGTGGCAAACGAACGAACATCATGCCATTTGGGGAGCGAACTCCGTCACCAAAGGTAAGTTCTCTGATAACACATTGTTTTCGTTAGAATTACGTCAATTACCTCAAATTGCTGACATGTTTTCAGTACCCCTGAATTTTGCTTCGGTGATTAATTGGCACGTATTTTTAGCTTCTAAGTCAAACATGCATCTTGTATAGCGATGTGTTGCCAGTAACTGGCTGTTGTCGCCCGGCCGGCGACGTTGAGTTGGTGTTGGGCCGAGCCACGGCCTGGGATTGTCAGTTGAGTTGGCGCTGGGTCGAGCCACGGCCGGGGATCGTCAGTTGAGTTGGCGCTGGGTCGAGCCCCGGCCGGGATCGTCAATGGAGTTGGTGCGCTGGGTCAGCCACGGCCGGGTATCAGTTGAGTTGGTGCTGGGTCGAGCCCGGCTGGGGATCGTCAGTTCAGTTGGTGCTGGGTCGAGCCCCTTCCGGGGATCGTCAGTTGAAGTCGGGACGACAGCAGCGTCCGCTGACGCCGACTGCGTGAGCCGGTCTGTCTGCCGCCTCCTCTCTGGGACGGAAACCCGTGAGGATGTGTGCCCCGACCGGCGGTCATCGGGAGCAGGGTTGCGAGGGGGGGGGGGGGGAGGGATTTCACGGCGCGGCCAGCCAGCATGACGTCAGGACCGGCGGTACGGGAGGCTTGCCTGGGCTGACGTCGTGATGACCGGGCCGTTACCGCGAAATGTTTACCGCCGTTGATTACGTTGAAAACTATTGTCGGCAAACGTTGCCGCGAAGCCGACGTCCCTGCATCCAGACTGGTACATGGCGGTGGGAGGTTGAACTGTTTGTTTGTATATTACGTTGAATGAGAAATAATCAGGCTGTCAGTGCTTGGTACGATGTTAAATATACAGCTTCGGGCCGACGGGGGAGCTCGCCAGCGGCTCGGCTGCTCGGAGGGTTGAGGCAGCTCTCCGTCGTAGAGCGATATACATCTCCACACGACGACAGTGCAGTTCTTCGGGCGCAACGCCCTGTGTCGTACGCTATATCATTTAGTGGGCCGGCGTAAGGTCAGGAGAAATTGTTACTTTTTAGGGTAGTATTCGCATGCTGTGGGGTCTGGTGAAATGTTTCAGCTTATTCGCGCTGTAGATTTTCAAGTCATCTTTTTACCATGGTACCATGCCTGAACATCACGACTTTACAGGGTGGCTTGCTCGATATGCCTGCTTGATTTGCGGCCCTGCATAAAATGATAGTTATGGGCGCTGTACGACCTGCAGTGGATGCACGCAAAAGAATTATAATCACAGTCAGATGCTCCGATGGGTTCAGGTGCGCTCATGGATATGCGTAGGTTAAAGAGCGAAGCATGTCTGACACACGGTACGTACATTGGTGGCTAACGTTTTTTATGCGGTGTGGGTACGTGTGATAACTATCCACTGCTGTTTTTTTGTTTGTTTGCAAAGGGACAAGTGTGCGGGCTTTTCCGCTGTGTACAGGTTTAGGTTAATGATTTGTCTGTATACTCATGCTAATTTTATGTCAGTATACCTATATTATGTTTTATGTCTATACATCTGCTTGTGTCTACTTACAATCGATATCTGGGGTTACCCAGGGAATGTTTGGTTGCTGTCTCAGACACAACCGCAGTGAAGTCGACTGCTGACTATGCAAAATCTGGGGTAAATGTTTATAAATGCCATTGTTTTGATGGTCCGCTCATACACACCGCAGATGTGAGCTTATGTTGGTGTGATGCGAAGCGAAACACCGTCCCACCGTATGAAAACGGGCGACCGCAATATTTGACGTAAAACCAAACGTAATGGAGACAACCAGTGGCGTGCGCGCTACACGTGGCGCACGCGACGCGTCATGGCGCCCAGCGTCCACCCAGCTCAGTGTCCACCCACCAACCACCCGACCATCTCACAAGGAGACTGTCTTTATTGCATCGCGAAGTTCGGTCACGTTCCTTCAGTCTCTATCGGCACGAGTCGTCGAGCATTCGTTGCGTCGCGAAATACGATTGCGTTCTTTCAATCCCGATGCGCGTAAACCACCGTGCTCTCGTGAGGCTAGAAGAGCGTTAGCATGAGGCCAGAAATGTTAGCGCGCGCCCCAACCGCCGTAACAATACAAAACCGCCGCGGGGCTGAAGACTAGTGCTGCCGGTACGACATTTGTGCCGCAGCTCATGACCTTGGCGCTACCAGCTCGCCCGCGGGCACAGCAGCCAGGAGCCCTTAGCTCTGGAACGGGCCCGACACGTCTCACATCGCAGGGCCATGGGCGCCGCCGGCCTCTCAGCGGGTCAGAACCCTGCTGGCTCGTGCTGCCGCAAACCCCCGAACCAAATTTGCCACCAGCGGGCTACTTCTCGTGCCAGAGCTCGTCCTTGAACGACTTGAACTCGTCCAGCTTGGAGCGGCGCGTGCTGGCCGAGCTGGCGGCCGACGCCGGCGCCGGCCGCTCGCCCAGCGATTCGGCCTTGCGCGCGCTGAACTGTGAGCGCGCGCTGCTGGCCGAGCTGGCCGTGCTCTGGCGCGCCGAGCGGAGCTCCGAGAGCACCGAGTCGGCGGCGGCGCCGGCGCCGGCGGGCCGGCCGCGGCCGCCGGAGCGACTCTCGTCGCGCAGGCTGCGCCACACGTCGCCGCTCATCAGGTTCTCGTACTCCTCTGTCTTGCGCTCATGCTGGCGCTGGGCGCGCACGTCGCCCTCGCGCACGTGCCGCAGCGGCTTGTAGTCGGCCAGCAGGTCGTGCACCTTCTTGTCGCCGGTGTTCTCGGCGATGCGGTCGGTGCGTACGCGTGACCAGCGCTGCTCCTCGCGCTCCCAGTCGGGCACGAAGCCGAACAGGAGCTCCTCGGCGCGGCGCAGCGCGCCGCCGGACGTGTCAGCCTCGTCCTCGGCGCGCCGCTCCCCGGACGCCGCTTCCTGCTCGGAGCGCGTCTCGGTCTCCGACGCCTGCTCTGCTTGGGACGAGCGCTCCTCGTGGACGCTCTCCTCGGCGACAAGTGCGCTGCTGGGAGTGCTGCTCTGTGACGTCGTGGCGCTCGTGTGACCGCTCCTCCTGGCTGGAAACCAGGTGCTCGTCAGTCTGTGGGGCTTCCTCGACTTGCGTCTGGCGCTGTTTCTCCGCTCGCTCCTCGGCTATTCGCTGCTCCTCTGCTCGCTGCTCAGCCTGAAGCTCAGCCTGTCGGCGTTCCTCAGCCCGCTTCTCGGCCTGGATACGCTGCTCAGCTTTCTCCTCAGCCTGAGCGCGCTCCTCAGCCTGAATTCGCTCCTCAGCCCTCTTCTCAGCCTGACGCCGCTCTTCAGCCTGAGCGCGCTCTTCAGCCTGAATTCGCTCCTCAGCCCTCTTCTCAGCCTGACGTCGCTCTTCAGCCTGAACGCGCTCCTCAGCCTGAATTCGCTCCTCAGCACACTTCTCAGCCTTAACGCGCTCCGCGGCCCTTTCATCAGCCAGGCGCTGCTCTTCCGCTCGCTCCTCAGCCTGTCGGCGCTGCTCAGCCTGGCGGCGCTCCGCCCTTTGCTCGTCCACCTGCGCCTGCGCCTGTCGCAGCTCGTCCTCCATCTCGGACATGCGGCTCTCTGAGCGTATGCTGCACTGCTCGTCCAGCGTGCTCGTGTTGCTCGTCTGTCGGCGCGCGGCGCGCGGCCGCTCCTTCCACGTGTCCTCGTCGTCGAAGTCGTCGGCGATGAACTGGCGCACGATGTCGTCGACGAGGCGGCTTGAGTCGGCGGCAGGCCGCTGCCGGCCGGACGCGGCGCGGCTCCGGTCGGCCGCCGTTGAGCTCGACAGCTCCTCGATGTCGACGCCCGAGGTGTTGCGCGCCTCCCGCCCCCGTCCGCCCACCGTCGACGCCTGCGACATGACCTCGTCGATGTCGACGTGCGTTGATTCTGCGCGCTCCCGCTGCCGGCCCCAGGCGTCGGTGGCGTCACGGCCCCGCGTGTCATCCGACAGGAAGTCGCGCACCAGGTCGTCGGCCAGGGTGCTGGCGTCGCGGAAGCGGTCGCCGCCACGGCGCGCGGACGGCGCGTCGCGCCGCCGCGCCGAGCCGAAGAACTGGTCGATCTGGTCGCCGTAGCGCGAGAAGATGTCTTCCTCGTCCTGGCGACGGCTCTCCTTGCGGTCCCGCATCTCACTCACCAGCGTCTGCGCGCGCTGCACGGCTCGCTCGAAGAAGTCGTCCGAGCCGCGGCGACGCACCTGCTGCTGTCGCCGCCAGCGCTCCTCCTCCTCTCGCCACGGGTCGTCGTCGTCACGCGCGAACTCGCGCACCAGCCGCTCGGCGCGCCGCGAGGCATCGTCGAAGAAGGCGTCGCCGACGCGGTGGCTGCGGTCGCGCTTGCGGTCGAAGAATGTGGCGACGAGGTTGTCGACCTCCTGGCGAATCTGCTCGCTGCGGTGGCCAAGTGAGTCGCCGTCGTCGCGTCTGACGGCGCGCCGCGCGCGATCGTACCGCTCCTCGTCGGCCAGCAGCCGCTCCAGCTCGCGCAGGATGCCGCCGCGGCCCTCGCGCTCCGTTGCCGCCGGTGCCTTCACCGCCGCCGCGCCGCCACGTCGGGCGCCAGTGCCGAGGGTGTGAAGGTCTTCGGATTGGAGCGATGCGCTGCGCTGGCCGGCCGCCAGCCGGCGCGGCGCGGCCGTGTCGGCGTGGCGCGCCGTCGAGCTGGACGTCTGGCTGATCTCGCTGATCTCACTGACCTGGCTGCGCTTGGTGACGCTAGAGCGGGCCGTGCCGCCGCCGCCCAGGTCAGCTACGGACGTCGACTGACGCGTCTCCGTCTTATTAACGGAGCTCGACTGCGAGGCTTCCTCGCCGCCGGCCACGGCGCGGCGCGATTCGGCCTCCTGGTGCTCGTTCACTTTGCTGTAGGCCTCCTGGGAGCGTTCGAGGCCTCCGCCGCCCAGCCTGCGCACGCCATCCTCGTGCCGCTCCAGCTGTTGCACCGAGCGTGAGGCGGCGCTCTGCACGCCGGCCTCGTGCGCCGCCTCCGACTCGATCTGGCTGGTCTCGCTCATGGTGACGCGGTGGTCGTCGTCAGGGCCGCCGCGCTGCTCGTGGCGCGCTTGCCGCTGCACCGACGACTGGCCGCCGCCGCCCGCCGTCTGCACGGCCGCCGTCTCCGAGCTGCTCTCGAAGCTCTCGCCGCGCTGCATGACTGCCGACCGGGGTCGGGTGGTCGGGTGCGAGAGACGCCCTCTGGCGAACTAGAGTCCCACCTGCGGGAAGGCGCGGTCACTGCCGTCGGTCACTGGACGGCGTCCGTTCACCGACCACTGCCGTGAGCGCGGTGTGGTCCGCGCCGGTGCTGCGGCGTCGCTACCCACGGGAAGTAGAGGTGTCGGCCGTCGCCGTCGTCTGAGCGCCGCCGCCACCCGCCTGCCGCTCGCGCCGTCCCGCCGCCCGTCCCTGCACTGCCGCGCGCCACCTGCTGCCGGAGTCGCGCCGTCTGCCGCTGAGCGCGCTCTGCGCTGGACGCCGCTGCCGCCGCCGCTGCTGCAGCCGTCTGTGCCGCCACCGGGCCGACTGAGTCAGCCACCGGCGGATTCCAGGCGGCCGACGACTATTTTGGGCGGCGTAACCGAACCGTCGGCGCTCGCCGCCGCCGCCGCCGCTGCCAGCCGGCCGGACGGCTGCCGCTCGGGGGAGGAGCAGGCTGTCCGGACACGGGGCCGTCATCGCCGTCTGGCCGGCCGGGGTGCTCACCTCACCGCTCCGAGAAAGCGATCCTCGACTCCCAGCGGCGGCTGGCTAAACTCGGCCGTGACGCGGCCGCCCACGCGCCACACGCGGGTGCTCCCCTGACTAACGCCGCTGGCGCTCTGACGGGAGCGGGGGGGGGGGGGGGGGATTTAGGGCGAGTCGTGAAGGGCTGCTGGCGTCGCTTGTTTTCTGATGACGCGCCTGCCGCGTGACCACGGGTCGGGTCGCCGCAAGGTGTTCACTGATCCCTTTTGGGGATGTTTGGGGACGACATCGAGTTTTTGAACGATTTAATATCTGATGAATCGTTTGGTGGCTGCATCAGGGTTTTGGACGGTTGCGTATTGGCGAGAATGTTTGTCAGTTCTGGACTACGTACTGAACACGGCGGCATGGAGAGCAGGCAGAGTAGGATTCTGATTGTATCACACTGAAAAACCGCCCATGTCAAACACTTCCCTTCCTACCGTCTGGCCGTACGGTCCTGCTCCGTTTCGTTTGCCTACGTCCAGGCACACTGCTGCGAGCAGTGGAGATCTTTCCGATAGGCTGCGCGCGGGGGTTTCGCGGGTCTTTTGCGCCTGGCTTTTTGCTACTGTGCGGTTTCCATCTTGCCCTCCGCTCTGCTCCCAGCTGTAATTTCTTTCTAGTTGTTTCGAATTCTCGAGTTGTTTTCTTAACGTGCGGCGCTCTGGCAGACAGCCGTCTTCGGCAGTGCCAACTGCCCCGCCCCTGGTGGCATTGTTTGTAAGCCATCGTACTAGTATCACAACTTGCACTGTTGTCGACGCCGGTATTTAACAATTGTGGTCATTTTCTCTAAAAAAGATCTACAGTGTGCGGCGTAAAGATTTACCCATCCCAAAACATTGTATAGCGTGCTTATTTTTCATCAGAATGTTATTTGACGTGGTTAGCATGCTCCCTTACATGTGTTCTTCTCTCTTTTTTTGTGATTTAGTCAAGAACTCAACATTAAACCCCGAACATCAGTCGAAAGTGCGTGCGTGACAAAATCGGGGCTTTAAAAAAGTGCTGGCGTCAGTGACAAAAAGGTCATGAGGCAGCTCAAAAACTGCGGAAAAACCGTTTGTAACGTGATGAAGCGGTACCACCAGACTGGTGCGACTGTCAGCGAGGCCATTCCTGGCTGCAGCCGATCTGCTCCCTCCAAAGGCGACGTGCAGGCCGTCAAGAAGAGGTTGCAACGGATACCTTCACATGTCAGAAAGGATCGGTGAAGCGGGTCGTGAAAGAGGATCTGGGACTTAAGACGTACAAAATGCAACGCCGACACCTCATTTCAGCAGCCTCAAAGGAAAAACGTCTGCACAGGGCAAAGAAGACGTTGGAGGAAATGGAGCGGCCAGTGATCGAGCTGTCATCTGGTCGGATGCAAAAATCTTCACTGTCCAGGCCGTGACCAACTCCCAGAATGACAGAGTCTATGCTGCGAACCCACGTGACCTTCCTGAAGGCAGCCGGGTGCATTTTCGCCGCCAGAAGCCTGCAATCGTCATGGTGTGGGCTGCCGTGGTGTCTGATGGCACCAAGTCTCCTCCGGTGTTCATCGAAGAAGGAGTGAAGGTCAACAGTGGTGTGTACCTGAAAATGCTGGAAGATGGCGTGCTCCCGTGAGTCAGAGAAACATTAGGCGACCACCACATCGTCACCCAAGATGGTCCACTGTCTCACACTTCGAATGTCTCCCAGACGTGGCACAAAGACCATTTCATCGGTTTTTGGGACCAGAGCTAGTGGCCTCCTTCCAGCCCAGACCTGAACGCGATGGACTTCGCAATGTGGTCTATCCTTGAGAGCGATGCCTCGAAGGCGTCCTACAGCAGCCTCGCGGCTCTGAAGGCCGCTCTGGCCACAGCCCGGCCCAGTCTGGATGAAGAAGCGGTGCGGCACTCCTGTGCATCAGTCACGTCACGTCTGAAAGCTGTGATCCGCGCAAAAGGCGGTCATATCGAAACGTAGCTCTTAAAAACAAAAAACAAACACGAGAAGAATGTGACATATACATGTGCCGGAAAAGATGGCCTATCTCTTTTACCTTTTTGACAGATTGACAAATATATGGGTATACCTTTACGCCGCACCCTGTAACCCTTCTCTGAGGCGGTCCATGCACGGTGATAAACAAAATCTGCTTGCTTTGCAGTCTCATACTAGCGCAAAAGTGCTTAACAGGTCAAAGTAATATCACAAGATTTTGGATGACAATCCTTCACCTGAAGTTCGTTGAACCGTCGAATTTATGATCTCGCTCATTATCGTGTGATTTGTTGCCTCGCGGACTGTCACTCATGTCTTCTGCACGTCTGTATGGCTGCTCCTGCCACGTTCTCACTTGTGTTGCATGGCCGGACACAGTAGTTGACTGTGACCGTTTTAATGGTCCAGAGAACTGGCGCCGCGCCGTCGCCCTCAGACCCCTTTAATGGTCCAGAGAACTGGCGCCGCGCAGTCGCCCTCTGACCCCTTTAATGGTCCGAGGGCTGGCGCCGCGCAGTCGCCCTCTGACCCCTTTAATGGTCCAGAGGGCTGGCGCCGCGCAGTCGCCCTCTGACCCCTTTAATGGTCCAGAGGGCTGGCGCCGCGCAGTCGCCCTCTGACCCCTTTAATGGTCCAAGGGCTGGCGCCGCGCAGGTCGCCCTCTGACCCCTTTAATGGTCCGAGGGCTGGCGCCGCGCAGTCGCCCTCTGACCGCCCGTGTGGCCGACCCTCTGACCGCCCGTGTGGCCGACCCTCTGACCGCCCGTGTGGCCGACCCTCTGACCGCCTGTGTGGCTGGCCCTCTGACAGCCCGTGTGGCCGACCCTTTGACCGCCCGTGTGGCCGACCCCCTGACCGCCTGTGGGGCCAGCCCTGTGGCCACACCTCTAACCGCCCGTGTGGCCGACCCTCTGACCGCCCGTGTGGCCGACCCTCTGACCGCCCGTGTGGCTGGCCCTCTGACAGCCCGTGTGGCCGACCCTTTGACCGCCTGTGTGGCCAACCCTCTGACCGCCCGTGTGGCCGGTAATTAAAGCCCGTTGAGCGCGTGTGGGGCCTGTGCTCTGAGCCCTCTGACTGCGCGTGTCTGACCTCGCGTCTGTCGGCCAGGTGAAACCCTCCGACCGCGTGTCCAACGTGTCCACCTCGCCTAAAGCCAAGCCCGACGCCGCCTCCGACAACAAGTTCTTCCGCAGCCGCGACCTCAACAGGAAGGCCACCGTCTCCATGTCCAAAGGACTCAAGTAAGGCGAGCCGTTTCCAGTACTTTATGTTTGCAACGTCTCCATGTCGCCATCACGATACAAGATGGAGCGTGTGTGTGTGTGTGTGTGTGTGTGTGTGTGTGTGTGTGTGTGTGTGTGTGTGTGTGTGTGTGTGTGTGTGTGTGGTGTGTGGTGCGTGCGTGCGTGGTGCGTGCGTGCGTGCGTGCGTGCGTGCGTGCGTGCGTGCGTGCGTGCGTGCGTGCGTGCGTGCGTGCGTGCGTGCGTGCGTGCGTGCGTGCGTGCGTGCGTGCGTGCGTGCGTGCGTGCGTGCGTGCGTGCGTGCGTGCGTGCGTGCGTGCGTGCGTGAAGATCGGGTCCTGTCGTCACGTGTTAGCAGTCAAGTTTCTGCACTAGATACGTGCTGGCCTTTGGCCCAGCCATGATCGGGAGAGTGTGATGGTTCTGGACTCATCCAGACGTGCTGAGTGGTTGTGAGGGGCCGCATCAGTGACGTCGGCGTCCGTGCCGGCGCCAGGTCATTGTCGACCCAAGCGGCTCCAGGCGCCGCTGGCTCTCGATCGTGGAGTCCCGCCAAAATCAGCTCTGGCCGCCGATCAGCAGCCTGCTGGTGGCCGGTCGGAGGCCGGCCGGGCCGCGTGGGGGGCCCTCCCTGCAGATTGCGGTCCCGCTGTTTGTGTATGTGTGTGTATGTGTGTATGCGTGCGTGCGTGCGTGCGTGCGTGCGTGCGTGTATGCGTGTGTGACACCTCGCTTCTGTGGAGGCGACCGCCAATTAACTTTGATCGCGTAGTTCTTCCAAAACTGCCGGTTTTGAGACGGCATGTGACACGTCGGCCGGTTTGAGACGGCGTGTGACACGTCGCCGGCTTGAGACGGCCGGTTTGAGACGGTGTGTGACACGTCGGTCGGTTTGAGACGGCATATGACACGCCGTCCGGTTTTAGACGGCATGTGACACGTCGGCCGGTTCGAGACAGCATGTGACACGTCGGCCGGTTTGAGACGGTGTGTGTCGCGTCGGCCGGTTTGAGACCGATTCTCAAACACACATTGCGCACCAGGCGATGAGGAAGCTGGTTCTGGAAGTGGTATCACTGTGGGCCCGTTGAAAGCGTGAATATCAACCTTTTGATTCATGTAACGATGCGATTTTCATTGTTTATCGCTTGATGGACGTCGCTAACGTAGCCAATTTCGGTATCGTTCCTCTTTTGTGGAACGAGAGACAGACTAATCTGAGCAAGCTGAGATTGGTACATTCGCGAAACGGCGTGTGTCAAACGCCGCCCTCCCCTGCGCTGCCATCAGCAGATGACCGGCGATGCTCGTTGGTGTGTGTATGACGTCACGCCCGTGTGGCAGCCTTCAGCAGCTAACCGGCGATACTCTGATGTGCGTGCGTGCGTGCGTGCGTTGCCACATCGCTTGTGGCAGCCATCAGCAGATGACCGGCGATGTTCGCTGGTGCGTGCGTGCGTGACGTCGCGCCCCTGCGGCAGGTACCAGGTGACGAGCGGCGGTCTTGTCCGGAGCCCGGCCCCCACCCGCCTCGGTCCGTTCAAGAGCTTACCAGCAGCGGTGCGGCCCAGGCCCGCTCCCAGTACGCCCACCTCGGCGCCGGCCCGGCGCGACCTGCTGACCGCCACCGACGACCTGGACGGCGCCGAGCGCGAGCCGCCGCGGCCGGGCACGCCCAGCACGCCCGGTACGCCGGCCAGCGCTCTGCGGCTGCTGCTGGCCGACTCGGACGACGAGGCGAGCACCCCGCTGCGGCGTAGCCCACGCAAGCATCAGCGCACGCCGACCGCCGCGCCCGCCGCGCCCACCGCCGGCGCCCGGGCGCCGCCTACGGCCGCGGCGCCGGCGCCGGCGGAGGCGGCGCTGCGGCGCAGCCCGCGCAAGCCGGCCCGCCTGCCGCCGACGGCGCCGGCGCATCCGACGCACGCGGCCAACGAGGGCCCGACGCGGCTGACGCTGACGCCGCGCCGCAGTCCGCGCAAGCACCAGGAGGTGAGCGGACGCGGCCGGTGGCCGAGGGCGGGCCAGTGGTACACATGATTGTCGTGCCGTCGCGCCGTAGAACAAATCATGACCATTAGCACCCGCCGTTTCGGTAAAGTGCCTGCTTCGGGTCGTTGCGTGCTATCTTTCTGGAATCTTTGAGCCTGAAGACTTTTGCCGGGCCCAATTCCTCTGTCGCTTTAAACTGAAGCACTTGCCAGTGTAAACATCAAACGCGGCTGACATGCTTGTGAACAGGCGAAGCTGTACATTGATGGGGCGCCGGGCTCTGGCCGTCCTGCGCTGCCGCCTGACGCCTCCCCTCCCCTCCCCTAGCTTCACCACCTCTGCCGCTTGAAGCCGTCCCCTAGCTTCACATCCTGCCGCCTGGCGCTGTACCGTCCCCGTCCCCTGACGTCACCACCACCGCCCGCAGAGCGTCTCGGCCGCCGCGTCGCCGGCGTCCGGTGCACGCACGCCGGGCGCCGTGTACGACCGGCTGGAGGAGCAGCTCATGCAGATGGAGGCCGGCGAGGACAAAGAAAACGAGGCGCCGGCCGGCCGCAAGAAGGACACCCAGCCGCGCTTCTACTCCATCTTCTACCGGAAGGCGGGCGGCCAGGTGGAGACGCGTGGCGAGGTGTCGCCGGCGCAGGGCACCGGCCCGCCGGCCAGACCGGCCAGCAAGTGAGTCGACCTCGCTGGCGCGAAGGTGGCGACCGCACCGCCGGGTGCCGGCGCTGGCCTGCGTCTCCGGTGGTGTATCGGTGCGAGTAGCGCCCGACCCGTGTCAGTAACCATGCCCCGTGGTTACTGGGCTTTGCCAACCCAACAGGTTGGTGACTGTTGTGTGCTTGGAATGTCGCATTCTTGCTGGGACAGCCTGGAGTGACTTACAGTTTGTTGTCGGTACAGGTTGGGAAAACGGATTATCGTTGAAGTGGGTAAAATGTTAATTGAGGTTGGCCAGCATGAAAGGGATTCTGCTGTTGCTAACCAGACATGAACGCCTGCCAGGCTCAATACCGCCGGGATCCAAAGACACCACAATCTGTCTGAACAGCTGACCTGAGCTGGGCTTTGGCGCATCAGACGCGATCTTGGCCCGCTTTCAGCGCGTGTTATTCGCGCTCGTACAGGTGCATGAAGGAGGCGACCGGCTGGCGCAAACGGCGACGGCCTGGACCGCGTGGTGCCGCCATCAACGCCGCTCGTGGTGAACGCGCTTGTAATGATTTGGTCCGTCAGGTGTATCGGCCGGCGATGGCCAACCCTCTCGGGTGTTCTAGCTGAGGATGACACCGACCCCCTTCAGGCGCAGCTGCAGCCTGTGGTGATCCTGGCCTCCGCTGGGGCGCGCCGTGCTGGTGCCGCTCTATTGACCGTGTCGCTGACGCCGGCCTGCCCCCGCCCAGGTCCACGCGGGCGTCAGCGCTGGCCGGCCGGCAGACCGGCGACGGCCTGGAGCAGCTGGTGATCGACGCCGGCCAGCGGCAGTTCGGCGTCATCACCTGCTCCACCTGCGCCGTGGTCTACACCATCGGCGATCCCGAGGACGAGGCGCTGCACGCGCGCCACCACACCGGCTACCTGGGCGCGCTCGCCTTCCCCGTACGGACGGCCTCGCGCTGGCGAGGAGCTCGCTTCACGAGAACTTCACCGGCCCGCCGGCCGTGTCGATCGGGTGACTGTACTTCTTGCAGTGATGAGGGATCGTTTGGCGTTTCTGACTGGCGTGGGGCGCTCACCATCGCCATTTTCGGTCGGTTTCACTCGCTGTCTGCTCCACGTCCGATGGTCTGCAGCTTAACAGGCAACATGCAAATGAGCACGGTTGCTAGACGGGACACTATGTGTGACTATGCTAAGTTATCCCATGCTATCCGCTCCGAAATGTCGTCCCCGAATGGGCGACATCGGTCGTCGCCACCCGCGTGCTGACCAGGCCGTCCGCGCGGCGCACGGCAGGGCTGGAAGCGGGAGCGCGAGGTGGGCCACTACATGGACGGCCGGGTGGTGATGGTGACGCCGCGAGACGCCGCGCACGCCTGGCGCAAGGTCGACAGCGTGCTCCGGCTGGTGGACGCCGAGCTCGGCTTCGTCGGCGTCGGCGTCCGCAACAAGGAGCAGTCCAAGGTGAGATCGTGGTCTCAGGCCCAATAGCCCGGCCTCTGCTGAGGCGGGTCGGGCGGCTCTGCGGCACTGCGATGCTGGTCCGGCTCGGGCAACACGCGGCGACATCTAGTATGTGTTTCGGACATCGCGTGCATACTTTCGGGTTTTTGCTTATACGTGTTGGAGCTCGGGAAATAACTTTTATTTTTAACGGTCCCGCCGCTGTCGTGTGTGTCTGTGCTCTGCGCTCTGGGTGGTCGCTGTAGTTCCGTCAGCAGAGTGCTCACCTTGTGAAGGGAGCCGTGTGCTGGATCACGGACACGTCCGGGTCCGGCTACTGGTCGAAAGTTTTACTGCTCCCCGCATCGATCCGCGTGAGGGATGACGGTGCTGACTGACCCCACGCGTTGATTGCATCATTGACGCGGGCCAGTCCTTACTACGTGACTAGTGCCACTGCGACGCGGGCCGCAGTCTGCTCACATTCCTTCCGAACGCTTCGCGCTCCAGGTGAACAGATCGCGTGGCTTCGGGCAGATCCGACGGGCCCAATCTGGCACTGTGACCGGTGCGTTTTCTCCGTGTGGCGAGCGCTCGTGTGCAGACCGGCTGATGCTCCGCTCCGCCACAGGTGTTTTTCTACGTGGTCGAGCGTCAGATCGTGGGCTGCCTGGTGGCCGAGCCGGTGACTCAGGGCTTCGCCGTGCTGCCGCGAGATGACAGCACCGCCGTGCGCTGCGACACGGCCGCCCGGCCGTGCGTGGCCGGCGTGTCGCGTGTCTGGGTGCACCGCGACTACCGACGCCGCCGCTTGGCCACGCGCCTGCTGGAGGCTATGAGGTGCGGACAGCTGATAGGGCGCACCACCTAGTGCCCCACTGAGCGGCGAGCCCGACTGAGGGTCTGGGCACACTGACGCGGCTCCGACACAAGGCGCCAGACCGCTGGTCGTTACGGCACCCGTGGCCCGGCACGAGACTTGTGCATCAAGCCGCAAGCACTTATGCCGGGGTCTGATTGCAGTTTGAACGCCTCGTTTGTTTGCAGGATTGTGTGCGTGGGTGTCAGGGGGTTTGTGAGGCCACGCACGCCCTGACTGTGCGCACCGCAAGGCCCCACCGAACTATGTTACGCGGCTAGTGCGCCGCGCATGCGCTGGGAGCCGTGTGGTGCGGAAGTGGCTGCGGCGCGGCGCCCATGGACCGCCTGACCGGTCGCCCTGCCCGACAGGAATCATTTCGCCTTGACGCCGCTCGGCTGGCCGGACGTCGCCTTCTCCGACCCGACGCCGGACGGACTCCAGTTCGCCGCCGGCGCCACCGGCTCCCAGCAGTTCCTCGTCTACAACCAGTGACGGCCGGAGCTCCGCACGGGCCGTGCGAAGAGAGAGGTTCGAGCTTGGAGGCTCCAGGTCTCTGGCCCGGAGCCTCCAAGTCTCGGACCCTCGAGGCCACCGAGCCTCTCGGCCCCGGAGTCTCGGAGTCTGGGAGCCTCACGGACGGCCCGGACCGCCGGCGGCCTCTGAGCCGCACCGGCACTGTCCGGTCGACGAGGCCGGAGCAGGGCATCGCTTTTATGAGTTTGGGCACGGGCCCTTTTTATCCAGGCGTGGGTGCCTCGTGGAAGCAAGAACCACTTCGCAGCCACTGGAGCATTTTGTAGTCACGGTGTGATCCAGCTGCGCAGTAGTGCCCCTCTGTCGTTTGCACAGTTCGCAAAGGGCGCGAGAGCACGTGCTCACTTTTGGAGGTGGCGAGCTGGTTTTTAGTTATGTTTTGCCCATCGGCCAGGGAAGCCGGGCAGGTCTGCCGTCGGCCCCGTGTTCGGCCCGTTGGCCTCTGAGAGCCGCCTTCCTGTGGTTGTCCGCGGCGTTTTGGCCGCTTGCATTGGGCATTGTGTCGTCTTACATTCCGGCTGAGTTTAGCTGTCCGCGTCTCTTCCGGTGAATGCAGATGGAGGATACAGAACAATACAAAATAAACAACGCTAAGTACCGTACGCAGTGTATTGATTGATAAGTTAACTACAACGGAGCGTCTGTGCGGCGCGGTGGTGAGCGGAGCTGGCGCCCAGCCGGTCCCCTGGCTAGCGCGGCGCCGCCGTCCCGTCCCCTCGGCCGTCCTCGGTCACCAGCCACGCCTCCGACCGCTCCGTCACATCGGCGCCGCCCGCCCGCTGGCGGCGCCGCCTCGCCAGCGTCACCGGGTTCAGCAGCGGGACTGGGAACAGAGCAGGAACGTCGCAGGCTCAGGCGAAGGAGCGGGACAAGAGGCGACCAGGGCATGAGATTCGCACGGGCCGGGGGTACAAGTGAGGACGGGGCTGACGGCGGGGAAAGGACGCCCAGACCTTCCCAGCTGGGGAGGAGATGTGGGACTCTCAAGGGTTGAGGGGATACGGAGGATGGGAACTGAGAGCTGGGAGAGGACGTGACAACCTGAAGGGTTGGGGAGAGATGCCGGAAGCAGAGAAGACACGTAGGTCTCCCGGGCCGAGGAAGAAACGGGACACAGGAGAGGACGTGGCAGTCTCCAGGGCCAAGGAAGGGGGACCGGAACCGAAGGAGGTGACATGGGAGTCGCGCGACGCGCCAACACATCTGGTCGCCTGCATCGGCGGTCGCCGCACTCCATATTCCACGATGCCCGAAGTAATAAAAAAGTAAATGCGCAAAAGGCATGTGGCGGGGAAGCGGCAGCCAGCCGGCGCCGGCGCGCCCCGGGTGAGGATCTTCCACACCCGGGGAACGTCACAGCAAGGCGACTGGCTAGGCCGTGAGATTGCCAAAGTGTCAGGAGGCGGTGTCCCGCTCTGATCATGATCGCTGCCAGCCGGCGGCGTCTGTGGCCTGTGATAACACCGGCCGATCGGGGTCCCGCGGCCCAGCGGTGCGCGCATGGTTCAGACAGCGCCCGACGCTGGCTTGGCGTGCTGAAACCTCCAACAGCAGCTACGACGCCGACCAAGCTCACACCACAACGCGAAATACGAAGCGCTGCCGGCCAGCTGGTCCCCTGGCGGCCGACCGACGAACTACCGAAGCTGGGTTCCGTGCGCGCGGGCCTCCCCGCCCGGAGGAGGCGCCACGAGCGCCCACTGCGCCCGCGCCGCCGTGCGGCCCGGCCGTCCGGCGGGTGCCGGAGGACAGCACGAGGGGCAGGGGGCGGGGAGTGGCAAGCGGCGCTAGTGGGCGGCGCCCTCCACCGACATCCGGCGACCAATGCCCGGCACTGCAACAGCGGCACGAGTGTCAACACGCTGCTGCAGTTCGCCGGCGCCTGACAGCACAGTGAACTGAGACATCACCAGGCACAGTCAGCCAAACGGGGAGGTACAGCACTTAGCAACCACTTATTGGCAGGAGCAATTCCAATTGTATTAACGTAGGAGCATATGTGCCATGACGTCAGATACGGCACAGACCCAGGTCGGGTGCGGCCTCGGTGGGGCGGCACGAGACGGACCGGGACAGCACGGGACAGAACACAACTCCGATGCTGCGCCGGGCGAGAGCGGACATAGCGGGCGGCACCGGCACGCTTGGGGACGCCAAGCGCCGCTCTCCTGCAGCCTGATTTCTAACAGCGATCCCCGTCCTTTTTGGGGCATGGAAGTCAGGACGAGAGGGCCAAGCAAACCCTTCCATCTCGGCAGCTTACTGGGCGTACCTGCCCGCAGCGCAGGGTCCGGACGGTCCACTCCACAGGACCAGAGACGGGAAGGGAGAGCCGTACACAGCATGCCGCTCACAACGCGCCGGCGCCAGCGTACACACACACACCAATAGCCAGACATAAGCCAAGAGAAGCCGACACACGGCGCCCGGGAGAAGAACGCACTGGGCTTAGAGTAGCCGGTTACAGCATGCAGACACTCACAACCGGTGCAGAGGAACTCCACCACCTGCCCGCGCCAGGAAGTAAAACGCCACAGGGCGTGAGGTCACCAGGCGAATTTCGGAGCATAACTCGGTGACAGCGTCCCCTAGCAGCCTACGCTCGGCGTCGGTACCGCGTTCGCCGCGCTACGCAGTGCGAACGCTTCTACGCACATCTCTACCAGCTGTAGATTAGCACGCCATGCCTCCGTTCCAAAGCAGTGCTAACGAAATGACGACATCCGCGTGCGGTAACCATGGCATTAGCCAGCACGCTGTGAGCCAGGCGCACCACTCCGGAAGCCCAGGGCTCGGGTGGGAACCACCTGGTCCGAGTTCGCCACACCGCATCATCGCACGCGCTGCGCACATTAAGTATCTAGTATGCATAGTAACGTTCTCACCGCGCTGCAACTAGACGCGTGCGCAGCGGTTTATTTGGCAGAAGCTTATAAGGGGCGCCGTGGAGCGCACGCCGGCCAGCTGCGCGGCTCAGTTCTCAGCGCCGGCGTCCGCCTGCTCACCTCCGGGGGCGCGGCACGCTGCATTGCATGGCGGACATGCTGGGGCGACAGACGCGGCAGCTGTTAGGGATCTGGCGCCTCCACCTCAGGGAGACGTCTGCCGCCCGTTCTGAGTGAGCCTCCCCCACCGCACCCCGGCCGAGACCCACCACACGGGCGCAGACCACAAACCCAAGCGGACGGGGAACACTGCAACGCCCCGTCGAGGAGCCCAATGCCACACCAACGGGGAACGCCGGTGTTAGTGAGAGAGCGAGCATACCACACGGCACCACCGGGACCGCCACCGAAGCCGGGCCAACTCCCGCACCATCACCACCGCACCAAATACCTTCACTGCGGCCGGGGCTTCTGCAACCGGACCCGTGACCTGACCGCTGCAACAGCACGACACGGGACGCGTCAGGGGCGCCGCGGGTCACCAGGGTCGCGTCAGGGGCATCGCGCGTCACCAGGGGCCACGTCAGGGCGCCACGGGTCACTAGGGGACACGTCAGGGGCGCTGAGGATCACTACAGGTCACGTCAGGGGCGCCGCGGATCTTCGGGGTCGCGTCAGGGGCATCGCGGGTCACCAGGGGCCACGTCAGGGCGCCACAGGTCATTAGGGGACACGTCAGGGGCCCTGAGGATCACTACAGGTCGCGTCAGGGGCGCCGCAGGTCTCCAGGGGTCGCGTCAGGGGAGCCAAGGATCACTAGGGGTCGCGTAAGGGACGCCGCGGGTCTTGATGGGTCGCGCCTGAGGCGTCGTAAGTCTCCAGGGGTCATGTCAGGACGTCGCGGGTCACCAGGAACCTCATCAGAGTCATCACTGGTCGCCACGGGCCGCGTCAGGGGCGCCATGGGTTTCTAGGGCTCACTCCACGGGCTCATCCTGCTCCCCATGTCTCCCGGTTCGCAAAGAAGCAGCACACTGCGTTGCCCAGGTGCTTAGCACTGGTGCCAGGCCGCAGCCTTACGCCTGTCGGCCCGGCCCTAGTGCCTTCGAACACAAAATGTAACGGCGCTGCGTCCAATCTCTAGCTGCGATGTAACAACGCCCCAATATGCATGCCTCATTGGTAGAGCAAATTTGCGGAAGATTCTCAAATATTGGTTCGTCTAGACGAATTTTTGTTTGCATAGTTTGTCTGGAATCTTACATTTCCGAAGCGTACACAGTGGGCAAGCAGTTATTGTGACCATCTGCGTTTCGTGCCGCGAACGCTTGTCGCCACAACACTGTTTCAGGGTTGCCACCTTTGAGTGAAGAACCGCCACGAGCCCCCCGTGGCCACCAAATAACGCATGTGGGGCGCTCTGAAGCCAATGTTCGGCCTTTACGTCGCAGACGAAACACTAAGAACGGCTCGCAGCTGAGTGTGCTCGTGAGTTGGCAGCAAGTGATCACTGGTCGGTAAGTGTCTTGCAATCATAACTGGGCAGTAAATGCATAACAGCTACACGCTAAAAATAATTGGTACAAAACGAGCCATTGTGATATTGTAGCGAAAAAAACCTCCCATTGATGCCACTTGTGAAATATCGTCAACGGGATTGGTATCATTAACTCTCTGTACACAAAATAGCTTGGCAAGTGCTTTCCTATGCCAAATTGATTACAAAGCCGCATATCACATACAACAGCGATTCGTGGCCAAGAAGATAGGGAGGCTGGACGTGCTGCACACTGTGCGCCCCGAGTTGGAGCGGCCCCGATGCCCATCTCGGTGCGAGAGGCCAACACTGGCCTCTCTGGCCTGAGGATCACATGCCCGGCACCGCTGGCCGACGCCGGACACCGGACGGCGCCCGAGAGGACCGCCCCCCCCCCCCCCCCCCCCCCCCACCGGCCCCGCCCGTCAGCTCACCGAATCCCTGTCCCTGCAGGAAGAGCCGGAAGGCCTCGCAGACCTTGGCCACTTGCTCCTCCAGTGGCAGGCTGCAGTCGTGGATCTTCATCCACTGCGAGTTGGCCGGGTCGAGGCGCGAGTTGAACGTCACCGTCTCGTCTACGTACGGGCTGCGGTTGCCGCAGATCAGCAGCACCGGCACGCGCAGCGACACGCCCTCCTGGCAACAAAGACAGCCGGCTGCTGACGCCGACACAGGCACCGGCACGCGCAGCGACACGCCCTCCTGGCAACATAGACAGCCGCCTGCTGACGCCGACACAGGCACCGGCACGCGCAGCAACACACCCTCCTGGCAACATAAGACAGCCGGCTGCTGACGCCGACACAGGCACCGGCACCGGCGCGGCGGTGGCGGCCTCGGCGCTTATGCTCCGTACGCGTCATTAACAGAAGTGTGCAGCACGCGCGCACACACGCAGGACACTTGCGACAGATGACCACCCTCCTTTTGGGGTGAATACCGTCTGCCGGACTCTCGAGCCGCCGCAATAGGAGCAATACGCCCCGCAGGCAGGCAGCCGTCCCCGGTCACAGACTGCTCATGGCGACAGCGACCGCTGATGATCGGGCTTTAGGACGCGCTGACTGCCCCGGTCACATGGCGTCTATAGGAAAACACAGACATAGCACATCTGGTGCACTCGCGCCGCCAGATGGATATAGTCCCAGCACTGCACAACATGTCAACTTTCGCCATCTTTCCAAGCCGGTATATGAATTTTTTCAAGAAAAAAATCGCACATTTTGTGCAAAAATACCAAATACTATTGATTTCTGAACAGAAACTTGAATAGGAAGTAGGAACAAGCCAATATTTCGTATAAAAGAATCGAAGGGAGCGACGTTTCGATAAAACATGTAACTTTCAACAATTCAAGTTTGACCGCTGTGCAAATGCGGTAAACACACAACATAACCCCGGTGATACCGAGCTTCGCGGTCGCCTGCAGTGAGAACCTCAAAAGGAATAGTGCACAATTTCATTGCGATATTACCAGAACGACATTCGGCAGGAGGGCGGCGAGACCCTCCCCCTGGCGTTTATTAATGTGCTACCGGACTGAGCGTCCTGTTCTAGAACCTGACAGCAATGCCACGGTGGCAACATGGCAGTATCTCTGCAGTACACTGCAATGGTATTTAGCGTCGGCATCGTCGTCAAATCACTGAACAGTCAGGCTGGCGGGGTGAGAGTGTGAGACAGTGCGACTGGCAGTGATGGGTCGGAAAAGCTCGACTACGGTTCGATTCGAACACACGGTGATAACGGCGATTGTTTCTCGGTGTGCGCAGCCCTGCTTCGGACAACAGCCTCTGACAGCAACCATCGAGGGCGCGGTCGGCCCGTCAGCTGGCGGCCCGTGACGCACCCTGTCACCGGGCCCCTCGACTCGGCCGCGCCGCTTCCTGACGACGGCGCCAACTGGTTACCGGCGACCCCGGCCCGGCCGGCCCCCAACTCTCAGATGGCCTCGGCTCGGCTGGCCCCAGCTCCCAGATGACGATCAGCCGTCCCCACACCACCGGCCGTGGCCGCCGACAGGCGCTGGCGGATTCTTGACGTCCGTACCGCGCTAGCCGTTTTACCGCTATGACTATTCTCGCCATCAAGATAGTTCACATGCGTGCTCTTTGTCTTACTTCTTCAAATGCTGGACTGAAATGAAGCGCGGGCATGCGCAGCTTGTGTGCTACACTTCAGCTCAACGTGATGCTCCCGCTCATTCAGAGGCGGACGATATCAGAAAAACAATCGTGCGATGGTCTCGTGAGTAGATGACGATCAAACATTTTCACACAGTTAATGTCAAAGTTTAAGGTTAAATACCCTCATATATGACACCGGTGGACTACTCTATGCCAGCCGACCTGTTCCCAGGCCCGGGACCTCTGGCGAGACGGGCGGAGACACAAATAAATCCCTGTAATCATGCACCTCACCACTACGCTTACTGGAATGACATCGAGAGAATGGGCACAAAACGTTATACGTCACCGAGCCCCGCCCACCTCCCAACACATGTAAAACGATCAACCGGCCGTGCCGCTCGTGCCTGCTAATAAAGCATCAATTCAACCGGCCGTGCCGCTTGTAGTAAAAAACTTGCTAATAACACACCAATCTTCACGGGTGACGGAAAGCTCAAAAAACGACATCTTAATTATTCAGAAATGAAGAGCTTGTTCTTCAGTTACACGACCAGTTGTATGCAACCCTGACATCCGCGGGTTTAAACAAATGTTGGGTTCTTGCCCATGCGCCCACTTTAAGTTTCCTTTATTGGAGAATTGCACTTACCGCTTCGCTTAATTTTTGCCGCCGAATTGACTTGAAGGTTCGGGAAACCTCTCCACAGCTCAAGCACACGCACGCAAACATCCCGGGACACGCGCAAACCCGCCCGCCGTATGTGTCTGTGTGTGTGTGTGTGTGTGTGAGGGGGGAGGGCAGTTCCGGAGGTCAAGATCACTAAGGTCACCGGAGGTCAGACAAAACTCGGCCGGCGATGGCGGCTGAGAGCGGCGTAACGGACCATCGAACCGACGCCGCACACACGCCGGCCGCGGCGCCCGGCGCCGCTCGTCAATTTCACGTCAGCAAACAACCCTGGTCTCAGCCATGGATGACATGCTCTCGGGTTCGATCGGCGCTGTTGACGCCGGACTGGAGGCTGGCGCCGGCTGGACGGCGGGCGTCCACGGACACGTCCCGGCCGAGTCGATCGGTGTTGACCAGGTGCACCGACTGTCAGCCGTCCCCGAGCGCGCCGACTGTCAGCCCCCGCCGTGGTCACCCAGCGCGCCGACTGTCAGCCCCCGCCGTGGTCACCGGGCGTGCCGACTGCCAGCCCCCGCCGTGGCCACCCAGCGCGCCGACTGTCAGGCCCCGCGGTGGTCACCCAGCGAGCCGACTGTCAGCCCCCGCCGTGGTCACCGAGCACGCCGACCGTCAGCCCCCCCCCCCCCTGCCGTGGTCGCCGGGTGTGCCGAGGTCTGCCGTCGGGCCGTCTGGCCGTCCCCCGCCCCCCCCCCCCCCCCCGCGTCCCGCCCCGCCGGTACTGGCGCAACAAGTGGCCGCCGGCCGGAGCCCAGCTGGACTGCAACACCGAGGGCTCACCAGCTTCAGGCGGCCACGGCTGCTCACCGCCTCCACACAGCTCAGCCCAAGAACAGCCACATATGGCTACGATACGGCTACGATACTATGAGATTCGGCTCCTCACCGGATAGCGCGTGGCCAAGACTGAGCCCGGGCTCTGCTCGCGGAATACCATGCGGGGACCAGACCCCGAACTTAGTGAAGAAGGCACTTCACGAAAACACGCAACTACAGATCATCGGCACCGGACAGAACAGCGGCAGTGTTGGCGGATCCAGACACCGGGACGATGCGCGCACGCGCAAAGGCTCAGCCCGATCGGGCACACGGGGATCGAACATATGCCGCGTTCGCATCGGCCTGTCCACACAGCGTGTTCTGTGGTTCGGACGGCAGCGGGTAGGACGACAGTCCACTCCGCACGGTGTGGACCCGCCGTCCCTGGTCCGCGCGGACAGGGTCCCTAATGCGGTCCGCAGGACAGGACGGCAGTCTGCTCCGTACAGTCTGAACCCGCCGTCCCTGTTCCACGCGGACCGGGTCTGCAGGACAGGACGGCAGTCTGCTCCGTACGGTCTGAACCCGCCGTCCCTGGTCCGCGCGGACAGGGTCCCTAATGCGGTCCGCAGGACAGGACGGTAGCCCGCTCCATACAGTCTGAACCCACCGTCCCTGGTCCGCGCGGACCGAGTCTGCAGGACAGGACAGCAGTCTGCTCCGCACAGTCTGAACCCGCCGTCCCTGGTCCGCGCGGACCGAGTCCCTGATGAGATCTGTAGGACAGGACGGCAGTCTGCTCCATACAGTTTGAACCCGCTGTCCCTGGTCCGCGCGGACCGGGTCGGCAGCACAGGACGACGGTCTGCTCCGTACAGTCTGAACCCGCTGTCCCTGGTCCGCGCGGACCGGGTCTGCAGGACAGGACGGCAGTCTGCTCCGTACGGTCTGAACCCGCCGTCCCTGGTCCGCGCGGACAGGGTCCCTAATGCGGTCCGCAGGACAGGACGGCAGTCTGCTCCGTACAGTCTGAACCCGCCGTCGCTGGTCCGCGCAGACCGGGTCCCTGATGCGGTCTGCAGGACAGGACGGCAGTCTGCTCCGTGCAGTCTGAACCCGCCGTCGCTGGTCCACGCGGACCGGGTCTGCAGGACAGGACGGCAGTCTGCTCCGTACAGTCTGAACCCGCCGTCCCTGTTCCACGCGGACCGGGTCTGCACGACAGGACGGCAGTCTGCTCCGTACGGTCTGAACCCGCCGTCCCTGGTCCGCGCGGACCGGGTCCCTGATGCCGTCTGCAGGACAGGACGGCAGTCTGCTCCGTGCAGTCTGAACCCGCCGTCGCTGGTCCGCGCGGACCGGGTCCCTGACGCGGTCTGCGGGACGGGACCAGGCGTGACGCACCGGAGGGCTCTGCGCCCCAGGCCGCTTCATCGAGCCAAGTGGCGGGATTTCCACGCGCGGACCGCACGGCGGGGACAGCCCCCGCGCCGCTGGCGGCGAGGCGCGGACCGCGCGACACCGGCCGTCCTTGTTCCCGCGACCTTAGCCGGGCCAGACGGCATGGAGCAACAGGAAAACTGCTGCAGGAAAAACCGGCGGCGGAAGCGGCGGCGTCAGCTGGCGCCCTTTTATGGGACCTTTGGGGACTCGGCGGTGGACTGCATGATGGGCCGGCCTGCAGTGGAGAGCGAACTGCGGCGCCAGCAGGCCCCACCAGCTGCGGCGCCATGCCCGCCGGCCGCGCTGTCCTCCTGATCACGGTGAGTGCTGACCTCCCCTCAGTCAGGAGAGAGTGCTGACCTCCCCCCAATCAGGAGAGAGTGACACGACAGCCGCCGGCTGGGATGCCGGGTGTGGTGTCTCTTCCTCGGCACTAGCCTGTCCTCCTGATCACGGTGAGTGCTGACCTCCCCCCAGTCAGGAGAGAGTGACACGACAGCCGCCGGCTGGGGTGCCGGGTGTGGTGTCACTTCCTCGGCACTAGCCTGTCTCCCTCCGCTCGGCACTCCCACCGGAGGCTGTGTGGTGGCCGGAGGCGTCACGCGCCGCCCGCGGGA